ACAAATTTTCGATCTTTCTTGACTTGCGGAAAATAAATCTTCAACAAGGAAAAATGTTTTCTAAATTTTTATAATCAATTGTTCATGAACAAAGCAAATTGCTTTTTTAAAAGATGATTTATTTATCTAAGACAATCTATCGCATAGCTGAGCTTTAATTTTGACTTTTAGTCCTGTGATTTTTTATCCGTGCCTTTTTTTAATTCAAATTATTTATCTTTCTTGCCTTGTGGAAAATAAGGATAGAGGTACACCATATATAAACTACTGTTATTTTAAAATCGCATTGATAAGTGTTAGAAGATTTTAGATAAGTGAAAATAAGTTGAAATAAGAATAGTTTCAAATAAAAATTAAACACACAAAAAAGGGAAGGGGGTCCACTCTACCAGCGCCTGTGACTTAACTTGCTTCATGATGACAAAATATATCTTTTGTATAATTATAACAAGTGACTGATAGAGTCCCTCTTTCTTATGGAGCCACTTATATAAATATGCGTTTAATTTAAACAAGTCAAACTCCGAACGTTTCCTTGTTGGCATCCCCCTTTTTAAAAAAATCTTGTTCCGTGTCTAATTACAATTTTCATAAATCTTCGTTTATTTTTTCAATGAAACATATATCAAACTGTGAAATGAATTATTCTTCAGTAATATAGTCAAAGAATTTTATCGTTAATTTTCAACAATTGTTTATTTTTTTTTGTTTTTATATTTTTATCTGCTTACAGAACTGAAGATGGTTAAAATATGTTCAACCGTTTTTAAATCAAACATGTAAGAAATAAAAATAAAATCTAGCTTGTTAGATATTTCTTCAAAAGTATATGTATCATCATTCTAAGGTAAAATGATTATTTCATTCGTCGTCTCTATTACATAAGGACAAATGAAGATTTTAAATTTCATGGTCATATATTAAGATCTATGAACATCCAACCAAGATCTGTGTAGATCATGTAGTCTCCCGTCAGGTTATGATATTACCTTCCCGTCATAAAATTAAACCAGATGCCTCGTAAACACAGTAGATACGTTTTATGGCTGTTTGTTTAGAAAACGGCATTCAATTGATAATTCAACAAAAATGATGGATCTTAAATTTTTTTTCTATCTTTATAACTCCTCCTCCGTTCATTGATTTATAATCTCGACGATGTATCGCTCTCATAGCCCTTTTATCGACCACTAACTTCAGTATTGTAATTTGTAATTCCTGTGAAGACGGTAATCAATTGTTATTAACAAGATTAGTAATTGCAACGACATCTACCGGAAGGAGTTAAGAGTTGTCGTTAATTATCTACTGTTCAATATAAAAAGATTGGGTTATCTCGCTTAGAAATGTCACATATTTTTGCACATGCATGACAAAGGAAAATTGTTTTCATAATCGACTCTTTTTTTAACCTTTCTTGAAAATTCCGTTCTTTTACTGTTATGGTTCTTATAGATCGCTGGCTTTCAAATACTCGGCTTTGAGCATTCTGGATGAAGGTAGATCCAGAAAAAAACTTTTCGTATGAATGCAGTTTATAAGGTTTTTGTATTTTGAATTTTTCAATTACTTGTTAACAATAGTCGAAAAGATCTGATATAGTTGGCCAATAGAGTTTTAAATATACTTACTAGTGTTTGAAATGTTGTTACATTTTACAAATATTCTTTGCTAGAATTCTTAAACATGTAGATTAAATTTAACACAATAGTTGAGAAGTACGATTGAACTTTAATGTATTGTTCCTACTCTGCAATAATGTGTAATATCGCTATATTAAACTTTCAGATTGTCAACTTCCCATTTTGGAGAAGTAACATATCCTTTACTCCAACGTATAATGTTTACATATCTCAGTTATTACGTTACGCACCTGCATCTTCACACTATGCTGTCTTCATAGACACCCCTGTGCTCAACATTTCGTCACTTTACACTATTTGACATTGTGTTGGCATTTTTTATTTAACTGAAGAGTTGCTAATGTCCCCTTGGTATCTTCTTTTACACAAAAACTGTCACACAGTGTTGCAACTCACTAGAGACATGTTTTCGGGGTCTAAGTTCTTTAGATATCAGTGTATACGTCTGCCATTTTGTTACATAAATCTTACCAACGGATGGAAAATGAAAAACGCATTCAACGATAGGCTGAAACTATTAATGATGGATATTCGGCATTTCAACACTTTAAAAATGATAATTGTTTATTGTACAGTTTATATATAGAGCTTCTTGACATTGGGTGAAATTATCACTAAGAACTCTCTTCCTAAAAATCGTGAGAATAAACAGGTCTACTAGGAACACACTTATTTGCTGCAATTGTTGCAAGAAAATTGTAGAACGCATTTCAGATATTTAAACAAAAGTGTATAAAATTGCCTCTACAGAAGGATTGAAGGATGATATCCTTAGCACCAATATTGACCTACAGACTGATTAAGTTCAATATCTCTCGAACGTGTAGGGTAACATAACTGAAAGGAGGATCATAAAACTTAACAAAGTTGGTATTTACTGCACCTGTTTTTCAAAACAAGAGGCTAATGTTTTTCATGGTAACATTATTGTATCGTTATTTTTCTAACATAACATGAATTGGTTTGCAAAGTGTATTTCAAAATAATTCAACACAGCGAGAAAATCACGCACCCGGAGGCGGGCTTCATCTGACCCCTAAACAAAAATATGTACTAGTTCAGTGAAAATGGACGTCACACTAAACTCCGAAACATATAAATGAAATAAATTTTTAAAAAAACATACAAGACTAACAAATACCAGAGGCTCCTGACTTGGGACAAGCGCAAATATGCGCAAATATGCGGCGGGGTTAAACATATTTTTGTGAGAACTCAACCCTCCCTTATACCTCTAGCCAATGTAGAACAAACAAACACACAGCAATACGCACAGTAGAACTTAGTTTAAAAGAAGTCCGGGTCAGAATAGATAACAGAAGAAACTAAGCAACACGACAATGATACATGAATTAACAAAGGACAACTAGCCATTACTGACATGCCAGCTCCAGGCCTCAATTGAAATGATTGAAAGATTATGTCCTTATTATATGAAAATCAAGCACATTTCCTCTCGTTAGGGTTTAAGTATTATACCATTAAAAAGTATATGAGCTTTTGATTTTGACATTTGATTAGGTACTTTCCGTTTGATTTTTTCCCTCGGAGTTTGGTAGTTTTGTTATCTTTCTTTTTTCAATTTCAATTAAAAAAATGTCATCTTGAATGACCTGACGACAGTATCGTAACTATATCCCTTCTGAATAAGTCTGTTTAAAGGTTTAGTTAGTGTGTGAGGTTATTGCTGACACTTTTGTGCTTTGTATAGTATATTACCATAAAAGATTGGATGTGAAATACCTGAACGTATTAGATGTATGCATGCTTATTTATATTTACGAATGATGTTCTTGTACCGATGATAAAATTTAGTGAATGTTTTGACTAGTTTGTGATATCGAAAACCCTGGTGTAATATTGTTCAACAATGAAGAGATTTCTTTTGTTAAAATCAAATACATTGTTTCATACACGAGCGAATTGAACAAGTTGAGATATATAAACACCATAAGATGGTGACAAGGGAACATCACTATCTAAAAATGGATAATTAACAATATGAAATGAAAAATCATCTCCTTTATCGTAAAATTTGGTATTAAGCTTCCCATTAAAATTATAAATATCAAGATCCAGGTAAGGGCAGTGTTCTTTGTTAGTATAAGCTTTATTAAAGTAAGTTCAGCAGGATAAATTTCTTTTGTGTACATACTGAAGTCGTCATTGAGATAAAGAGCCTATATATATCATCCAAATATCTAAAAGCGTTATTAATGTTTTGTATCAGATGTTGTTTCGATGGGTCTTTGCTGATTTTGGTCATAAATCGTAACTCATAACAATACAGAAACAGGTACGCAATAATTGGTGCACAGTACGTTCCCATTTATGTATTTTTTTTAAAAATGGAACCATAAAGAAATGTTCCTATAAATGGGATTTCCTAATAATTGTCGCCTTATCTTTTTGGCTGAAATATTTTTTTTCAAAATTCTGCCTGTTCTGCATGGTACGCTACGTCAACCAAAAATTTCAGATTGCTGTAAATATTAATCAAGGATTTACTTAATCTACCTTCTGTATCATTTAAAAAGCAAAATACATTTGTGTTTACTCAATCGAAAATCACTTTATTCCAATAGTGTTGGTCATAGTTTTCAGATTTTACTCGTGTGATAAGACTAGGTTATTACGTGATAAAAATCAAACAACTTTGTAACAAAACCATAATATTTGTTTATGGTGTCCTAATCCGATACCCCTAAAAAGGAATGCCAAGTATAGTTTGATATTTCTTGTGTGCAAAATACTAAAAGAAATCAGATAAATGCAAAACTAATAAAAGCAGTTTTTTACTTGAATATGCATCGCTTGTAGTATAGAGTTCAGGATATTGAGACTCTTACACAGTTACTATATTATTAGAAATCTATCTTGAAATTATATTAAAGTAGACGATGTGTATAATCAATGCAACAATAACCCAATGACACTATACACTTCAACACATGAGGGTTAATTCAATATAATCGGCTTCTCAATAGAAGTCATTTGACGTTATCATGAATATTAATAAAGCTCACCACTTAACAGTTACAATTTTGTTGATACTGCCAGAGACATGACAGTAATTTTCGATTAACTTCAAATGTATACTTTAGATTCGAATATTAATTCAAAGTCTAAGATATGCTATGACATAGTCTAACACATCAGATGTTCAACAATTTCATTGTAATTTGAATTATCTTAAATTATAATAAGTAAAATGCAAGATGCAAGATGTTATATCAGATATATTTCAAATAGAATGTGTGATTATCAGCAGACTTCTGACTGTATTTTAATAGTCGTAATATAAATATGAATATTGAAATGCAACAGGTCTTATAACAACGCATTATTTATTATTACCTTTTTTTTCAGTTTTGTTCACTTCGGAATAAACAGGTCCTTGAAGGCCAAGTCTAAACGCAACTGGCTTTTTAATTCCTTTCGTTGTTTCAGTTTTGTCAACGGTACTGTAAACTGGTCCAATTTCTCCACCAGAGTTGTTATCTGATGTAACATACAAAGGGTTGTCTTTCAGTTCGTCTAAAATTTAATTTGAAAAAAGGATATTTAGTATTCTATTATGAAATATGTTCACATGTTATATAGCCCTATATCATCTAATTGAAAGAACATTTCATTAAAATGTTATCAAAGATTTTAAAATGTTTAAAGTATTAAATGGTAACACAAGACATCCAATTGTTAACTAACTTTGTGTTAGCAAACTTTGAACAAAAAAAAATCTAAAATGCCCGAATATTCAAATTATAGTCTTGGTAAGAGTTTCAGCATTTTTCAAATAACTTTATTTTCTTTGCGATAAATTCAACTCTGTTCATGCAAATTACTTGCAGTCAATTCATATACTGAGATCATTTCATGATATTTTCCTGCAAATTTCATTAAGGATTTCAAACATGTTTTAGAGTATTCATTGAAAACATAAGAATTCCACTTGTAAACGTTTTGTTAAAACAAATATTTGATCATCACAACATCTAAAATGCCAAAAAATGGCATGCAACCAATCCATAATTGTTCAGTTGCCTGTTAGACAGCATATTTTCGGTTTTTCCATATGTTTGTAGAATTGAAATATACAGTTTGGACTGATGTTAACCCTTCTTCAAAACTATGAGCATAAATTTCAATAATTGTTTTAAAATGTTCTAGAACAGTGCTATCCTAGAACTGGTCCATTGTAAAACAATATTAGTTAACCGGTGTTTATACGTTATCAATTAATTAAGAAAACACATTCAGGTAATAAACAAAAATGGAAGGAACAGCAAGAACTCAAAAAAGAAGCAAAACAGGAGTGTCGACAGGATAAGCGTATCCTATAATGTTGCATGGGAAAAATAGAAAAACTATCTCAGTATAAACTGCAAAAATACATACTTCACATAAAAAAAAGTAAAATCACAAAAGTACTGAACTCCGAGGAAAATTCAAAAAGGAAAGTCCCTAATCAAATGGCAAATTGAAAAGCTCAAACACATCAAACGAATGGATAACAACTGTCATATTCCTGACTTGGTACAGGCATTTTCTTATGTAGAAAACGGTGGATTAAACCTGGTTTTATAGCTAGCTAAACCTCTCAATTGTATGACAGTCGCATCAAATTCCATTATATTGACAACGATGCGTGAACAAAACAAACAGACACAATAGGTAAAAATGTAAAAAATACACCAGAGGGATAAAACGTTTCTGGTTACAATACAAACTATTGATAAAATTTTGAAAACTAATACACTACTTTTTAAGATGAAGATGACCATTGGTAATATATCTAAATTCTGCGAAGAAAAACCAGAGTACATAGTACCACAAGAGTTGTCAACTGGTCTGCACTTACCAATTGGTTTATATATTTAAACGTTGAAGTACATTTGAAAACAAAGTATTGTATTTTGTAACTACGAAAATATCAAATTGAATTTAGATTAAAAAAAAACTGATAATGCCTACAAAAACTATATTAACTGAACAAAAGTAAAAGATGAATTGTCAAATTTAAATGCTTTATCAACTGTTAAAAGGAAAAACTTTATCTTAGAAAAATATTTCATTTAAAAACATCTGAAAATGTATATAACAAATACTGTGCTAGTTTGTTCTTCTCTCTTTTCGTTAAATAAAGTTTGATTTTACATCCCAGATATTTACAAGAACAAAAAAGGATTCTCTCTTAGATTATGAGATAACGATGTATTTGTTACCTAATGTTAAACAATATCATATTCCAGTATCGTTTTTTTTTTTTTTTTATTTAGAATTTCCTTTCTGCATACTTTTGGTCATATTTGTTGTATCAGCCTTTTTTGTCAATATAGCAAATGCATTAACAAAAACAACAGAAATGACGAACTCAAAGGAAAATTCAAAAAAGGGATATTCATCTGAACTGACAAAACCAAACGCTCGGCTGGATAAAAATAAACTGTAACATTTCTTCCTTGGTACAGTCGTTTTCCGAAGACCTATTTTCATTCAGGCTTTGTATCAGTAAAGGAGGTTTAGAGTCCGAATCCTGGACTACAAGATGTCAGGAATCAAACAAATAACAGTCAAATCCCCCTATGCCATATACAATCCAATCGAACGTCAGTAAGACGAGTTGTAAATTGCGTTTTACAATCCTTTTTCCTGGCTAGATATCATCACTATGTAATCAAGCGTAACGTAAAAAGTGATGGAAGAAAGTTGTTTTACACTTGATTTCATCAATGTTCAGGCTGTTGGACTTTTTCCTTTTTTTCTACCGTGGTTTTGCCGGTAATCGACCAATGATTTGAAAAAAGGATAAGTAGTAAGACAACAAATACCGTCACAAAGTAAGTCTACATCAGAAATACAAGAAACCATTGAATGCATTTTCCAAATAAAGTTCTGTTATTTAGTGAGATATTCATTAGAAAAGTTTCTTGACGTGTACCTTGTGTCTCTTTGTTCACAGAGTTGATATAACATCGTATAGCTGACAACGTTTGAATTTTAATATAAAAATTTGATATTTAAGTGATATATTACCTTGTATTTAAGAATTTATTAGATTATTTATTTATTATTTATTTATTTATTGCATGAACTTATTCGTGTTATTAATTAAGCGATGATGTTTATACATATTTCCACGAGCGTTGGTTGCTTAATCAGATTCTGGTCAGACAAGTAAATATTTCATGAAAGACGATTTATAATGTTTGCAGTCTTTCTGTTAATAACACTTTTCAAAACTAAAATAAGTATCCCTCTTTTTGTATCTAGAAGTAATTTTCAAGGAAACGAACATTCCCTGTTGTGTCACGGGTGATGGGATAGGGGTATAAATAAACATACTGTAGTGATAAAAATCACATTTGATTGTTGGGTTCTACTCTTTTATCCCTCTACATTTTTGTCATTGTCTGTGTTTAACTTCCGTGTTTAAATAATTAAATTTAAATAATAAAATGTTGACCAAATATGAATATGGCTATTCATGGTAGGGCCCTTTCGAACATTAAGTTCCTAACGATTCTTCGTATTTATATATTCCTTGCTTTTTAACATTTAGATTTTTAGCTTTCCTAATGAAAGGAAATCAAAAAAGGTGCCTTGGACATAGGAGTGAGTAAAAGTGTTGTTTCAAGAAGAAATTTAAGTATACGACAATATACCATTTACCCAACAATTAAAACACCAACATGCATCTTTGAATCAACAAATAATCTTCATCAATTAAGAGAAGATGTAAGTATTTTTTCAAAATATATATTCTCTTCAGTGAAGACAAGATTTAAACAAATTATATCACAAATAATCAAAGTTCATCCACCAACCTGAAACTTCAAGATTATTCTAAAAAGAAATGATGATATAGCTAAAAACAACCACTGAGGTTATTCTTGACATAAACGTGCTGTGGAGTTCAAGTTGTTTATAGTCAATCTCTCAAAAAATCTGTTCCGACGGAAAACAATAACCAATTTTGGAATGGTAATATCGGCGACGTAGAAAATAAAAACAAAAAAGAAAATTTGGCTATGATGTTATATTTAAAAAGTCACACATCGAGTGTTTTTAAGATATGATAGATAAAATGTTAAGATGTCACAAAACAGAAGCATATAATCGTAATCATACAAGTGTTAATGAAACGAATCTGTACATGTAGCCGTTAATCGTAAAACATGTCGCTTTCAGGTTCACACTTGGCTTCGGTGTCACAAATAACTATCCGGGACTCACCGGTCGGTTCGGAGTTATCTGCTCAAAACTTTAACAATTTTTTTATTGGATAAAAACCGTAATCGTAATAGGTAGAAAAAAACCAAAGGGTGAATTTTTTTTAGGACCATACCCTGGTTCTTCGTAACATTTTGATCGAAAGGATTTGGAGACTCTTGGTAGTGTTATGCCTTTTGAAACATTTGGGCTAATTAAACTCTGAAACCGTATGTCGTAGCCACCTAGAATTTTCACTAATGATCAGTAATTCATGTGACTGACCTTGAAAAAACAAAATGTTGACGTTGACCTTAATCTTTGACCTTACACCTTTTTATTGGATACCATTATACTTGCAGAAGTCTTGAATAGTGGAAAATGTTTGAGTCATTAAGGCGCAACTTTGGTACGTTTAGACCAAAGAGATTTGACCTTGCCGTAAGGGGCATAACCTCCGTAAACGGTTTGTGAAAAGACAAAATTACTTTAAGTATTAAACCAAAGGTCCTAGATCCATAGTGTCTTTAGCAAGGACACCGGGGACTAATGACCATGACAAAGGTCAAGGTCATGACCTAGATCACAAATTGTATGTTTTTGAACATATGTTAAGGGTTTTATGTGTGTTTAATGCTTTTCAATGCATTTTACATCTATTCTTTAAACATATATTTTACATTACGAAAATGAAAGACCTCTCAATTGTTCACGTGCAATTGACATTTTGATTTCATTTATTCTTTTTATCTTTACATTTCGCGCCTGTGCATAATATATTTATCATATCTGTATTGCATATTGATAAAATGTTCAATAAAAGAATGAAAACAAATATGCATTTTACTTCGCACCTGCTGCAGTAACATTTGAGAATGTTGCGCTTGAGGACAATATTTTTTATCTTTTAGTCAAACTGCAAACACATTTTAAGTGTTGCAAACCAACAAAGAGAAGTTCTTCCGGCAAAGTTTGGTTTTGTTTTCCTTCATTTCATTTTACGATGTTTATTATCTCACTGATTCAATCAAAATTATGCATTTATTTTGATTTTTGTCAAACATAGTTTCGAAAATTATGAAATTAACTATTGTTCTCATCCTTAATAAATAAATGTATCTTCAGTAAAAAACAATAAACGATGCCTACCATCATCCTCTTCAATAGTCTTTTTTTCTGACCTAAAAACCCAATAGAAAATCCATGTAGATACAACACTAAAATATTACAGTAATTTATTGCATACCTACATTTATGTGATCTGCAATGATCGAGAAAAATGTCCGTTAGTGGTGCTCGATGCTTTGACAAATCCGTT